TCTCTCTCTCTCTCTCTCTCTCTCTCTCTCTCTCTCTCTCTCTCTCTCTCTCTCTCTCTCTCTCTCTCTCTCTCTCTCTCTCTCTCTCTGTTCGTCTCTCTCGCAGCCACGTACTGATCTGCGCAAAGGTGGCGTCTTCTTGATTGAGGTAAGTGACGCGTCTCTCTCTCTCTCTCTATCTCTCTATCTATCTATCTATCTATCTATCTATCTATCACTTTCTCCCTCTTTCTCTCTCAACTTTACTCGCCATATATATTGTGGCCGAGCGGGGAGGTTTCATGATGAGGCGCTTGAGCTTGAGCAACCTTAGATCCTCAGCAGGCAGACGAGAGAGAGTAAGAGAGAGAGATACCATACTATATCCGAGGGAGAGGGAGACGCCATCGAATAAATTTGAGAGAGAGAGAGAGAGAGAGAGAGAGAGAGAGAGAGAGAGAGAGAGGCCTGGCGTGGTGGAAGACTTCCACATCTGCCAACCTTGACGAAGGAGAAGAAAGACGAAGGAGGAGGAAGACGACAAACGAGAGAGAGAGAGAGAGAGAGAGAGAGAGAGAGAGAGAGAGAGAGAGAGAGGAGTCAAGTTGGAGGAGCGGCCATAGCCGCAAGCTCGGACGAAGGAGACTAGAGTGACGGGAGAAGAGAGAGAAGGGAGAGACACCATAGTCGGTGGTGAAGAAGGAGTGCAACGAGGGAGGAGGTGGGCAGGCAGAGAGAGATGGAAGCGAGCGAAGAAGTCTTTGGTTTTGAGGAGGAGAGGAAGCGAGCAATCGAAATGGCTTGTGCGGGTAAGTACTAAAATTATTATTTTCTTTTTCTTCTTCTTTTTCTTTTTCTTCTTTTTCTTCGTGTTCTTCTTTTCTTCCACATTGTTTTCTTCTTCTTCTTCTTCTTCTTCTTCTTCTTCTTTTCTTCCACATTCTTTTATTCTTCTTCTTTCCACTTCTGCCCGCTTCTCCCCACTTCTCCTCGCTTCTCCCCAGTTATCCCCGCTTCTCGCCACTTCTCCCCGCTTCTCCCCGCTTCTCCCCGCTTCTCCCCGCTTCTCGCCACTTCTCCCCGCTTCTCCCCACTTCTCCGCGCTTCTCCCCATGCTGTAGTGCAAACTTGAACTCCCTACGATTATTTCGCCTAGGTTCCAGATCCGGATCCCGATTGGGATCCCGATTGGGATCCCGATTGGGATCCCGATCGCCACGTGGACCTGCCACTTTCCCGCATCTCCGCGGACCTGGGTTCGTTTTTTCTTTTCCTTCTTTTACTTTTTTTTATTTCAATCAATCAATCAAGCAAGCAAGCAAGCAATGAATCAAAATTCATTGATTGCTTGATTGCTTGATTGATTGCTTCGTTTTTTTCACTTTTTTTTTCCATTGATTGATTGATTGATTGATTGATTGATTAGTAGAGAGAAGGAGAGAGAGAGAGAGAGAGAGAGAGAGACACACGCACACACACACAAGCACACACACACACACACACACACACACACACACACACACACACACACACACATTCCGCTTGATTAATTGATTGATTGATTGATTGATTACTTAATCGATTGATTGATCGATTGATTAATTGATTGATTGATTGATGGATGGATGGATGGATTGATTGATTGATTGATTGATTTCTTGGTGACCTGGCCGCAACCTTGACGCGATATGGAAAGTGCGCCACGTGCGATATTCGGCACGTGTGAAGTGCGGCACCCATCGCCACCTCCGCTTTCCGATCCCGATCCCGCTCCCGTCGCCACCTCCGCTTCCCGATCCCGCTTCTGATCCCACGCCCTGCGTCGCCACCTCGACGTCGCCACCTCCGCTTCCCGATCCCGCTACCGATCCCGCGCCCTGCGTCGCCACCTCCGCTTCCCGCTCCCGATCCCGATCCCACGCCCTGCGTCACCACCTCGGAGTCGCCACCTCCGCTTCTCGATCCCGCTCCCGTCGCCACCTCTGCTTCCCGATCCCGCTCCCGTCGCCACCTCCGGTTTGCGATCCCGCCTCCGCCCACATCCGTCCAGCGTCGCCACCTGCGCCTAGCTTCGTGGAACTCCACCTACCTCCACCTAGCTTTCTGATCAAAATCCCGATGGCCTCCGCTCGCCTCGGCCAGGTTCATTAGGAACACGGCCTGCCTCCATGGACCTCCGCCCACCTCGGCGTCGCCACCTCCGCCCGCGTCCGTGGACCTCCGCCTACCTCCGTGGACCTCCGCCCGCCTCCGCCCACCTACTACGACCGATCCCGACGTCGTCCGGTCGCCTCCGCCGGCCTCCGCCCACATCCGCGCGGCGTTGCCACCTCCAGTTCCGCTTGCACATCCGGATTTTGATGCCCATCCCGACGACCCCTCCTCCACCAATCAATCAATCAATCAATCGAAAAAAAGAAAGTGAAAAAAACGATGTCGTACCAAATACCCTTACAAGGGTATTTGGCGTGTTTTTTGCAAGTCGCGCAAGTGCAGTGTCGCCCGCCTGACGGCGTGCGCGCGAGCGGAAGTATAGGTTTTTGTTGGGGCGAGAGGCGTGCGTGGCGGCATATGGTATGGATGGTGAGGGCACGGTGCGCTGCCTAGGCGTGCGCGGCGTCACGGGCGAGCGGGACGCGCGACGTCTGTCTGTATATTATACTAAATAATTGATGTATAAAATTTTGTTAGGCTCCGGCGTGCCGTTGACTCGGACGCGACGCTGGACTTAATGGGCGTCACGGTATTCGAGGATCCTGAGGGCGCGCCTCCCCTGACTGACCTACGGGCTCATGCGTGCTCGGGAGGCTGGCGGAATCCCTCCCTTGCGTCTATCTTGAAGGCACGGGCCGAGGGGAAGTTCAACGTGCATGCGAGCCAGTGGGTGATTAGCCCACGAGGCGGACGTAGCTGGGGCGTGTGCCCCTGCGAGTGCGTCGTCCACGGCCACGATCTGCTGTAAGAGGTTTGAGGGTGAGCACGCACTTTGGGGCCCGAAGGAGGCAAGTGGACGGGGCCGAGGCACGAGGAAGGGGGCCGCTGGTCACGCAGAACCCCTTTCCACTTCGGATTTCAAAGTCCTCTTTCGAATATTTGCCCCTACCACCAAGATTTGTTCTGATCCCGGTTGATCCGGGCATGTACCTGGGCGTGGGTGCAGGCCGGGTGGACGAGGTGGTCGGAGATAGCCAGGGGCGACGACAGGCAGCAGGTAGCAGCGGGCGGAGCGCTGCAGTCACCGGGCCGGCCACCACCGTCGGGTTGAAGGGGGTGGGGGAACACTTACCTAGTAGTATTGGTGGGAACGACCGGAGCGAGCTGGTGGAAAGGTTGACAATGCGCAGCGAAGCAACAGGCAGTGGGAGAGCTGAGTGTCGGAGTAGCGGAGTGGCGACGAGCTGAGCCGGCGGGCTCTGGGAGAGGAGGCTGGACCTGGACGAGGGGCGGAGTCAGGTGCAGTCAGCAGCGAAGCCGGAGATGGCTGGACGGGGAGGCGCAGCAGGAGAGAGAGAGAGGGCTGCGTTT